ACTGTTATTTTTAGACTCATTGGACCGAAAATAATTGCCATTTTTACTCTCAATGGACTGAAAATAATTGCCATTTTTATTCTCAATGTACTGAAAATAACTGTCATTTGTATTCTCTTTGGACTGCAAATATCCTTCATTCTTTATTCTCATTGAATAAAAATAATTCACATTTGTATTCTCTGTGGACTGAAAACAACTGACATGTTTCTTCTCATTGCACTAAAAATAACTGTCTTTTCCCCCCTCATTGGACTGGAAATAACTATCATTTTTATTCTCTTTGGACTGAAAATAACTGTCATAGTTCATTCTCATTGGGCTGAAAATAACTGTCATTGTTCATTCTCTTTGGACTGGAAATAACTGTCATTTTTCATTCTCATTGGGCTGGAAATTACTGTTATTTTTATTCTATTTGGACTGAAAATAACTGTCATTTTTTATTTCATTGGGCTGAAAATAATTGTCATTGTATTCTCTTTGGACTGAACATAACAGTCATTTTTTCATTATAATTGGGCTGAAAATAACTGTCATTTTTCATTCTCAATGGACTGAAAATAACTGTCATTTCTGTCATGTTTATTCTCTTTGGACTGAAAAAAACTGTAATTTCTGTAATTTTTTTCATTATAATTGGGCTGAAAATAACAGTAATTTTTCATTCTCATTGGGCTGAAAATAACTGTAATTTATATTCTCTTTGGACTGAAAATAACTGTCATTTTTCATTCTCATTGGGCTGGAAATAACTGTTATTTTTATTTGCTTTGGTCTGAACATAACTGTCATTTTTCATTCTCATTGGTCTGGAAATAACTGTAATTTTTATTATCTTTGGACTGAAAATAACTGTCATTTTTCATTCTCATTGGACTGAAAATAACAGTCTTTTTTTACTCTCTTTGGACTGAAAATAACAGTCATTTTTTCATTCTCATTGGCCTGGAAATAACTATCATTTTTATTATCTTTGGACTGGAAAAAAATGTCATTTTTCATTCTCATTGGGCTGGAAATAACTATCATTTTTATTATCTTTGGACTGGAAATAACTAACTTTTCATTCTCATTAGGCTGGAAATAACTGTCATTTTTATTATTTTTGGACTGAAAATAACTGTCATTTTTCATTCTCAATGGACTGAAAATAACTGTATTTTTTTTTATAAACAAAAAAATGACCGTTCTCTTGCTATGTCATCTTTGTGGATGGAGCCTCCAAGCTGCGGTTGGCTTTGTGCACTCTGATGTTTGGCTCCATGGGAAGGGCGGGTGATGCAGCTCTCCAGTCTGTACACGTTGAGTCTAGCAGCGTTGATTGTCAGCTTCTCGTCTTTCTCTTTTAGTTCCACAAATCCAGTTATATGAAGATTGAAGACAACAAGGAGAACAATGAGAGCGTGGCTGAGAAGGGGAGGGCGTCTGTCATCTTCTCTCTGAAGAATGAAGTCGGTGGACTTGTGAAGGCACTTAAACTTTTCCAGGTACAGACATCCCCTGAACCCTGATAGTCAGAGGTAACAAAAGGCGCTGGTTGTACGGGGGGAGATCAGATTTGTATTTTTCCACTGACTGACGAGACCCCCACGATTGTCTACTTCATATTGATGCTGTTACTGCAGCTGTGAAATTATCTCTCAAAGATCTCTAATCAATTAGGGTCCTGGCCAGTAAGGACCAGGGGCGGACTGACCATTCGAGCACTCGGGCACTGCCCAAGGGCCCAGGGTTCGGTAGGGGGCCCCATGAGATGTCCCTGGTACTTTTCATTGGCTTTTTCATAGGCTTTTTTGGGTGTGGGCAAGGACACAGGGGCCCCATGATCCCCTATTGCCCGGGGGCCCTATGAGTTTGTCAGTCCGCCTCTGGGAGGGACCTAAAGCTAAACTCCAGGGAAGCGGCCAAGTGCACAGATGTGCAAATTCCAACAGATTTGTATTTCTGTCCATCCAGTCCTGAGATTTACACATCTCTGCCACACAGCACAGCCCTGTGTTGCAGGAGACTTGATTTTTCAGTTAAATTGGAACGGTGTTGCTTATGAGGTGGTGGTCTGTTGCTAGGGCTTTTTGTCTCAGAAAATAGATGCAGGAACCCAACCATGACCTCTGAAACACCCCTCCCCATCACACACACCCTCCACCACCGCATCAAATACTGGGCGTGGATAAATTTCACGAACAGAGGGAGGGTCTTAAAGGTGCATGCAATACCAGGAGTGCATTACGTCCAGCGTGCAGAGTTCAGGGGTGTGCTACACACGGAGTGCAGAGTTCAGGGGTGTGCTACACACGGAGTGCAGAGTTCAGGGGGTGCTACACACGGAGTGCAGAGTTCAGGGGTGTGCTACACACGGAGTGCAGAGTTCAGGGGTGTGCTACACACGGAGTGCAGAGTTCAGGGGTGTGCTACACACGGAGTGCAGAGTTCAGGGGTGTGCTACACACGGAGTGCAGAGTTCAGGGGTGTGCTACACACGGAGTGCAGAGTTCAGGGGTGTGCTACACACGGAGTGCAGAGTTCAGGGGTGTGCTACACACGGAGTGCAGAGTTCAGGGGGTGCTACACACGGAGTGCAGAGTTCAGGGGTGTTACACACGGAGTGCAGAGTTCAGGAGGTTACACACGGAGTGCAGAGTTCAGGGGTGTGCTACACACGGAGTGCAGAGTTCAGGAGGTTACACACAGAGTGCAGAGTTCAGGGGTGCGCTACACATGGAGTGCAGAGTTCAGGAGGTTACTGTCAGGGCAGGGCTGTGGAACGGACAGGTAGGCCTAGTGGCAGGGTAACGCACTGGCTGACAACAACCACCACCAACAGACTGAAGTCCCTCAGGGCGCGGAGTCTAAGTCCCAGGCTGCCCTTCACCAGGGCCCCTGATGGTGGGGATGGACTTGACGCAACCAGGGACCAGGTCGCGGCCCCCAAGACACCCCAGCTGCGGTAATGGCCGCCGTCAATGGCGTGTAGCTGGTGAGAATGACAATAGCGTAGTCAGACAAGCCGGGTCAATAACAACGGGACAAAACAGTACAGAACAGTAGACAGAGAATCACAGGTCATGGGCCGGGTTCAGCAACGGAAGGTCAGATCAAAGGAAAACACAGAGAATGGTCTTAGTCACAAGCCAAGTCAGAATACCAGAAGAGCCACAAGCGTATACACAGAGCTATAGGAAGACCAAGACACACGTGCAAAGAGCATGTGCGGGCCACAGGCTTATATGTACTCAGCCACACCCCTCTGGGGGATGGACCTCAGAGACCTGAAGGCATAAAAGATTCCCATCATGCTCAGCAGAAATCCAAGATGGATGCTAGCACATGGAGTAACTTAATCTCTGGGAAAAGGTAGGACCTTGACAGTTACACACGGGGTGCAGAGTTCAGGGGTGTGCTACATGCAGAGTTCAGGGTGCGCTACACGCAGAGTGCAGAGTTCAGGAGGTTACACACAGAGTACTGCTCAGGAGAGTGCAGAGGGGTGCACGACACACAGAGTGCAGAGTTCAGGAGGATACACACAGAGTGCAGAGTTCAGGAGGATGCGACACGCAGAGTTGAGGGGTGTGCGACACGCAGAGTGCAGAGTTGAGGGGTGTGCGACACGCAGAGTGCAGAGTTGAGGGATATGTACAGAGTGAAGAGCTCAGCCTTCTTCCACAGCTGCTTACCTCTGTACCTCCCATCCACATCTCACTTTCACTCCTCTTCAACTCTGACCTCTGCATGCAACCCCCCCTACACTACTTCTACCACCCCCCCCTCCACCCCCCCCCCCCCCCCCCCCCCCCCCCACGCCCCCCCCCCCCCCCCCCCCCCCTTAAAAGCTCCACCATCTTCCCCATGTTTTACTTTTGTTGCTGTATTAAGCTGAAGCACCCAGCTAGCTCTAGTACCTCCCCACACACTGTAGGTGGCACCTCATTTGCAGCAGATCATCCAATGTAAGTGTCGGCATCCTCAATGCACCCTGGGCACCTGCATCTCCCTGAACCCTGGGCACCTGCATCTCCCTGACATTCCCTGGGCACCTGCATCTCCCTGAACCCTGGGCACCTGCATCTCCCTGAACCCTGGGCACCTGCATCTCCCTGAACCCTGGGCACCTGCATCTCCCTGAACCCTGGGCACCTGCACCTCCCTGAAAACCTGGGCACCTGCACCTCCCTGAACCCCTGGCACCTGCACCTCCCTGAACCCTGGGCACCTGCACCTCCCTGCACCCTGGGCACCTGCACCTCCCTGCACCCTGGGCACCTGCACCTCCCTGAACCCTGGGCACCTGCACCTCCCTGCACCCTGGGCACCTGCACCTCCCTGCACCGTGGGCACCTGCACCTCCCTGCACCGTGGGCACCTGCATCTCCCTTGTCCCCATCCTGCAGTCAATGGGAGCCACTCAGGAGATCAGATCTGTGGGAGTCGTTGGGAGACAAGGTGTCACTTTTAAACACAGAAGCCTTTACAGGTGGTAGTGGTGGGCGAGGAGCAGAGGGCCTGAGCCGGAGATGGTGGAGCTGAGTTCTTCTAGTTCCAGCTGCCTGTTGCCATACAAGCCGACTTCTCCTGAGTGCCCTCCTCCAGCCATGAGGCTCCCCACCCCCATCACCAGTGGTGACCATCACTCTGGTCTTTTGTCCGGTCTGGTGTCTTCTGGCTCCGCCCTACACCACATCTTCCCGGCACATCTCTTCTACCACAAAACGGAACCTCCTGGCACTTTGGTGGACCTTCTTTCCACATAAGCAGCACTCCCAGATTTTGTCCCTCCCCCATACTGTTGCCGCACGGTGAATGAAGAAGTGGCAGACCAATGAACTTCTCTCGGTCACTCTGCTGTCTACTCCTATTAGCATGCTCATCATTTGACGTGCCGCTTGTCCCTCTCCCGGGGATGGGTGTGCGGTCCGATGTCAGGCTGTAGGGAGATTAGAGGCTGTCCTATCTTCTGAACTGCCCCCTATTGATTGGGACCCTCTTTTATTTTTTGCCAGGAGAAGCATGTAAATCTGATTCACATCGAATCTCGGAAGTCGAAGAGAAGGAACTCGGAGTTCGAGATCTTCCTGGACTGCGACAGCAACAGAGAACAGCTGAATGAGATCATCCAACTGCTCCGGCCGCACGTCAACCTGATCACCATGAATCCGGCGGACAGCTTCTGCGTGGAGGAGGACGGTGAGCCGGCCCAGACCGGTTTGTCTGGCTTTTATGGCATTTGCCGGGAGGGGGTCCAGGAAGGGAAAACAGATAATGCCGCACGCTCAGAGCATCCGTCCCCTTTATTTACTTAAATGCTAGAGTTTTATTCCACCTGGAGTAGCTGAAGCCATGAACCCCAAGGTGTGAGCGCCCGGGCGGATCCAGATCCGAGGCTCCAATACACTAAGGAGCCAAGATATTTGAGGCTTGAGAAACCAAAAAAACACCCAAAAAATTCACTATATTTTTACCAGAATCAAATCAAGTAAAAGGTATACATGCCGCACAGAGCCGAATGCTGCTAGACGTCTGCAGAGCAGGAAAACGTGTTTAGCTTTGTTTCGGATCGATTTGTTCATTTACTCATTTTGTTTCCTCGCATTCGTAACAAAATTAATTTTCTTTAGTTTCGTTTATTTGTTTTTTTTTTTTAACAATGAATTGAAAGTATTTAAATCGAATTTGAATTAAAAATATGGAATCGATCCAAATTTTTTTCAAATAAAAGCTAGTCCTATTCTATTCAAAATTTGAATTTCAAAAAACGATTACATTATTTCCATTTTAATCTATTCTATTCTTTTATTTTCTATTCTATGTTTTTTTTCTATTTTCTGTTTTTTTTTTCTATTATATCCGTTTCAAAATTTGAATATCAAAAGATTGCAATATTCTACTCTATTCTATTTTTTTACTCTATTATTTTCTATTCTATTTTATTTTTTTCTGTTCTATTCTATTTTTTTTGAATTTCAGAAGACGGCTATATTCTATTCTTTTCAGTTCCTTTTTTTTCTATTCTATTCTATTTTTTTTTTACTATTTTGTTCTCTTATTTATGCTATTATTTTCTATTCTATTCTGTTTTATTCTATTTTCGAATTTTGGAAGATATCTATTCTATTCTTTTCTGTTCCTTTATTTTCTATTTTATTTTATTATATTTTCTTTTCTATTTTATTCTCTTATTTACTCTAATATTTTCTATTCTATTCTGTTTTATTCTATTTTCGAATTTCAAAAGATGGATCTATTTTATTTTACTCCCTTCCCTTATTTTCTGTTTAATTCAATTCTTTTCATTTCTATTCTATTTTAGTCAATTCTTTTAATTTATATTCTATTCTATTTTTGTTATGTTTTACTATATTATTTTCTATTCTGTTTTATTCTGTTTTCCAATTTTGGAAGACGGCTATTTTCTATTTTATTATTTTTCTTTTTTTTTTTTTCTATCCTATTCCTTTATTTTTTTATTCTATTTTATTTTTTTTTTTTATTTTTTTTTCTATTCTATTTTTCCTTTTTTTTTTTTTTTTTTACTCTATTGGTTTCTATTAGTTAGAAGCTTTTTGTCCGTTTACATCTTTTTTTTTTGTTTTACATCCATTTTACATCCATTTTTGGTCTATTTACATTTTTTTTTGTCTTTTTACATCCATTTTACATTTTTTTTTGGTCTTTTGCATCCTTTTGTTGTTTTTTTACATTCATTTTTTTATTTTACATTTTTTTTTCATCCGTTCCGTTTTTTTTAACGAGAAAAGAATAGGGACAGGATGATTGAAGAGAAATTTTTACCCAACGACACACAAATAGCAAAAACGGACAGTCTTTTTTTTTTTTTTCTCTACTCTATTTTTTTTAAAAAAAAAGTTTTTTTTGTACATACCCTTTAAGAAGTATTTTCCCCTTTTAACTATTACAAAAAAAAAAACTGTGGAAGTAAATATTTTTTTTTTCATTTTTTTTTTTTCAAGATATTTTTTTGTTCCATGGTTTCCCACCAAGATAGCCGATCTGGATAAATGTGCAAACAGAGTTTTGATGTACGGATCTGACCTGGATGCAGATCATCCTGTGAGTATTGATAACTTTTGTGAATTTCAATTTCAAAATACTAACAACAACACACAAAGCTATTCACAACTCTGACCCGAGCTATCATCACCGATTTTATCTCCAAATATCACCCAAACCGTCCTCTCCCCTCCTCATTCCTCTCATAGCCTCCTGCTATCCTCCTTTTTTTCATTTCCAGGACTTCCCCAGAGCCTCTCCCATCCTCTGGAACTCCCTACCCCAATCTGTCCTGCTATCCCCTTGATGGACTTATTGCACGCCTGGAGTCACTGAGCTCCTGAGAGCAACCCATTTTTTTTTTTTGTTTGTAGAAGCAGTCTGCATGCCTTTTTTTTTTTTTGATTGTTACACCTGTGTCCATGGAGGGGATTGGAACACCTGAATCACATGATTTGGAGGGGTGTCCCAATACTTTTGGCAATATAGTGTGTGTGTTTTATATATATATTTATATTTTATATATATTTATATATATATATATATTTATATATATATATTTATATATTAGGTAAAATAGTACTTTTTTCACTATTTTTTCGATATATTTTTTTTTTTTTTTATATTTTTTTTTTATATATTTATTTTTTTTTTTTTTGTGTGTTGTTTTTTTTGTTTTAATTTTATTTATTATATATATTTTACAATTTTTTTTTTTTATTTTTTTTTATATATTTATTATATATATTTTATTTGTTTTTTATCTATATTTCATATATTTTATATATAAATTTTTTTTTTTATATTTATTATTTTTATATTTTATATTTTTATTTAGATATTTATTGATATTTTTTTTTATTTTATTTTTAATATATTTTTTGAATATTTATTTTTTTATTTTTTTTTTCAAATTCATTTTTTATTATTTATTTTTTTTTTTTTTTTTTTTTTTTTATTTTTTTTTTTTTTTTTTTCAAATTTCATTTCTATCTATTATTTATATTTTTTTTTTTTATTTTTTATATCTATATTTATATTTATAAATATATTTATATTTTTTTTATTTTTTTTTCTTTTTTTTTTTTTTTTTTTTTTACAAAACGAGTTTTTTCTATAACATCTTTCCTTCTCTATGTAGGGATTCAAGGACAATGTATATCGCAAGAGGCGGAAATATTTTGCAGATGTCGCAATGAATTACAAACAGTACGTACATCCACACATCATATGTCACCTTTTATAGTTGTAGATATTCACAGATAAAAAATGTATCTTATTTCCTTCTATTCTAAATTACTTCCTTTTATTCTAAAAAACTATTCTGTGCCTCGGCTGGCTGGTGGTTGTAGTGTTTGATCGTTCAGCACTGGGCTGGCTTTAATCAATCTAATAATATTTGCCAAAGCTGAGCACAAGAATCGTATCTTTAGTGAAGCCCGGTACAACTTCTCTTCTCTGCGATATGAAAACAAACAGTTGTAAAATCATTCTTTTTGTAGGCGGGGTTTATTTCCCCTCCAAGGATCTGCGCTGCAAATCAGACCCGGTGTTTACGGAGATGGCGTCGTTCTATAAACTAGCTTGCGTCTTTTATGGATGCGTAAAATAAACTTTACCGACTCTTTTGCACACACAGCTCCCAACTGTCCTTCGTTGCACCCCATGTGATGTAAAGACATCTATAAAAAAAATACAATTGATCTACTAAAAGATGACATGCTGCGCTACTTTGTCATCCTAAAGAAATATTACATTTAAAAAAAATCATAAGGGCCCTTTCGAAAAAAAAATTAAAAACACATACAATTTTTTTGGTGCGTTTTCTGGTTGCCTGACTCCAATCATCCACCTGTGAAACATGGAAACGTGACTAAAGAAGCGCACCGAAACCGCAACAGTTGTGCATTTTACGTTCATTTGAAAAGGGAACCAAATATACACCATGCAGGACTTTTAATTAACAACGCACCACGCCCGCAGCACATTGGTGTCCCATAGGATTTAAAAGGATACATTTTTCATGCATTGTTGATCTGCTTTTTAAAACACCAAAAACACATAAAAATGGATTAGTGCAATGATGGGGCACTATTCCTCCCACTGACACCAACGAAGGGGCGCAATTCCTCCCACTGACACCAACGAAAGGGGCGCAATTCCTCCCACTGACACACCAATGATGGGGCGCAATTCCTCTCAATGACACCAACGATGGGGCGCAATTCCTTCCAATGACACAAATGATGGGGCACAATTCCTCCCAATGACACCAATGATGGGGCACAATTCCTCCAATGACACCAATGATGGGGCACAATTCCTCCCAATGACACCAATGATGGGGCACAATTCCTCCCAATGACACCAATGATGGGGCACAATTCCTCCCAATGACACCAATGATGGGGCACAATTCCTCCCAATGACACCAATGATGGGGCACAATTCCTCCCAATGACACCAATGATGGGGCACAATTCCTCCCAATGACACCAATGATGGGGCACAATTCCTCCCAATGACACCAATGATGGGGCACAATTCCTCCCAATGACACCAACGATGGGGCACAATTCCTCCCAATGACATCAACGATGGGGCACTATTCCTCCCAATGACACCAACTATGGGGCAGAATTCCTCTCCATAACACCAAGGATGGGGCACGGTTCCTCCCACTGACGCAAACAATGGGTCGCAATTGTTCCCACTGACATCTAAAATGGGGCACTATCCCTCCCACTGACACCAAAAATGGGGCATTTGTCTACTCTCACTGACTTCAAGACGTTTTCTACTCCCAAAGGCCACAGTTCGGCCCCCCTGAAGTCCGAAGGACAGTAAACTGGCCCTTTGTTTAGAAAGTTTGGAGACCCCTGTTGTAGAAGGAAGAGTATTCCACTTCATCTCGCCACCCTTCCTACCAGCCACACAGGGAGTGCATTGTTTCAAGCGAGTTGGCCAACCTGTAGACATCCATTTTGAGAAGGAGTAGTAAAGCATGACCATTCTGTTGCAAAACAGGCTAGGTATGTACCGGGCAAATATGGCCGACCCCTGTTAAAAAAAAAAAAAAAAAAAATCTCTTGTATTTGATAGCGGGGTCCCCATTCCTCGTATTGAGTTTACAGAAGAAGAGGTAAAGACTTGGGGTACCGTCTTCCGGGAGCTCAATAAGCTGTACCCAACGCACGCCTGCCGGGAGTACCTCAAGAACCTCCCCCTACTAAACAAACACTGCGGCTACCGCGAGGACAACATACCGCAACTGGAGGACGTCTCCCACTTTCTGAAAGGTATGAACGGGCCACGGGGTCATAGAGGCCATGGGTGATATTGGGGTTCACAACCTCAAAAACCTGAAAGATAACCAAAGCCTCTTCAAAGGTCAACCAGTCAGAATCTAAACTCTATACTTATACATTGTAGTGATCTACAAATGAATGCAGGGTCCGGGGAGAGCGGATATAGTGAATGCGGGGTCCGGGGAGAGCGGATATAGTGAATGCGGGGTCCGGGGAGAGCGGATATAGTGAATGCGGGGTCCGGGGAGAGCGGATATAGTGAATGCGGGGTCCGGGGAGAGCGGATATAGTGAATGCGGGGTCCGGGGAGAGCGGATATAGTGAATGCAGGGTTCGGGGAGAGCGGATATAGTGAATGCAGGGTCTGGGGAGTCCGGATATAGTGAATGCAGGGTTCGGGGAGAGTGGATATAGTGAATGCAGGGTCTGGGGAGACCGGATATAGTGAATGCAGGGTCCGGAGAGACCGGATATAGTGAATGCAGGGTCTGGGGAGTCCGGATATAGTGAATGCAGGGTCTGGGGAGAGCGGATATAGTGAATGCAGGGTTCGGGGGAGAAGCGGATATAGTGAATGCAGGGTTCGGGGGAGAGCGCGGGATATAGTGAATGCAGGGTCTGGGGAGTCCCGGATATAGTGAATGCAGGGTCCGGGGAGTCCGGATATAGTGAATGCAGGGTCCGGGGAGACCGGATATAGTGAATGCAGGGGTCGGGAGAGCGGGGGAGAGCGGATATAGTGAATGCAGGTCCGGGGAGAGCGCATATAGGGATATAGTGAATGCAGGGTCCGGGGAGAGAGGATATAGTGAATGCAGGGTCCGGGGAGAGCGGATATAGTGAATGCAGGGTCCGGGGAGAGCGGATATAGTGAATGCAGGGTCCGGGGAGAGCGGATATAGTGAATGCAGGGTCCGGGGAGAGCGGATATAGTGAATGCAGGGTCCGGGGAGAGCGGATATAGTGAATGCAGGGCCCGGGGAGAGCGGATATAGTGAATGCAGGGCCCGGGGGGAGAGCGGATATAGTGAATGCAGGGTCCGGGGAAGGAGACCGGATATAGTGAATGCAGGGTCCGGGGAGACCGGATATAGTGAATGCAGGGTCCGGGGTTTACCCTTCCTTACTAACCAAGCTGAGTGTTGGTACTAGTCTTCAGATATATGGTTTTACACCTACAAGAGAAAGGTGGGTGTTATTCTTACTAATCTCATCTTTTGACCCTTACTTTCGCAGAGCGCACAGGTTTCATCATCCGCCCTGTGGCCGGGTACTTGTCTCCAAGGGATTTCCTGGCTGGCTTAGCGTTCCGGGTATTTCACTGCACGCAGTACGTCAGACACAGCTCCGACCCCCTCTACACTCCGGAACCGTGAGTACTTCAGCAATGACTCTCTCTGACATCTGCCTGAACTCTGCCAGCAGCATGTGGATAGGGATGTCCTGGTGATCAGGAAGGCTTACCCCCCCCCCCCCCCGGTTACATCAAACCAGAATTTGAAATCGTGCGACTTACAGTGAAGTTGCGCGATTTCAAAGTCAGGTGACATGACGATTTCAGGTGCGATTTGCAAGACATCTGACAGAGGTCTATGCAAATCGCACCAAAAGTAGTGCATGGACTACTTTAAAAATCAGTGCGGCTCCGACCAAGTCAGGACCCGCGCCAATATGACCGCTGTAATTGCGGAAAATAGGATGCGACTTGGCATGCAATTTGCAAGTCGCATGGCATGCAAATCGCATGCCAAGTCACATCCAGTGTGACCGGGGACTTAGGCTGCAATCACATTTAGCGTTTCAAGAACACGCGCAAAATTGCAACACACATATGCGCGTTTTTACGCCACACCCATGAGGCAGCCTACTCATTTCAATGGGATTGCCCTACATGCAGGGGCGGACTGACAACTCATGGGGCCCCCGGGCAATAGGGGATCATGGGGCCCCTGTGTCCTTGCCCAAACTCAAAAAAAGCCTATGAAAAAGGTACCAGGGGTATCTCACGGGGCCCCCCACTGACCCCGGGCCCTCGGGCAGTGCCCAAGTTTCCAAATGGTCAGTCCACCCCTGCCTACATGTGACAAATGCAGAAAAGTAGCTCCTGCACCTTTTTGAGCGTCAAGTTTCACATATCTTTACCTGCGGACCGCGTTGGACGTGCGTCTTTCATTTGAAAAAACGCACGTCTTTATTCACTGCATTTGTGTGCCGTTAACAATGAATGGCCGTGCAAGAATGACACCATTTTTTGAGCATTTCATAAACATCTAAGAAATTGTGTTCAGGAAACACTAACCCTAAGTTCACAGCTAAGTGTTTGCCGTTGCGTTTTGCAGAAACGCAGTACAGTCCATTTAACATGATTTCCTATGAGACACATTCACATCTCCGCATTTTCACCCGGTGCGTTTTTTGGAAAGGGTCAGGGACTTTTTTGAACGCAACAAGTTGCATTTTTGGTTCTATAGACTTCAATAGAAATGCTGCAGAAAAGCATGCAATGCGTTTTTGATGCGTTTTGTGTTTTAAATCTGCCTAGCAACAAGAAAAATGTTAATTAAAAAAAAAAACACAAAATGCATCAAAAACTCATTAGAAACACGGATTGCGTTTTTAATGAGTTTTTCATGTGTTTTGTGGGGGTTTTTTTGCAGAAATGGCTCAAACACAACCTGCATAGGTGTGAACCTAGCCTTAGGGCCAGTTCACACTACCTGCGTTTCAGTTGCTTTTCTCCTGCATCCAAAATGCACAGAAAGTATTTTATACAGTTGTCAATGTCATAGTTCACATCAGTTCCAGTGCGTTCCGTTTGCAGAAAAAAAGTAGAACAGGCTGCATTTTTCCCGCACAGAACTGCACTGGAACGCGGTAAAATGCATAAAAAATGCACCGGAATGCACAAAAAACACACCAAAAACGCACTGGAGTGCACATGTCCTTATTTAAATTGAAGAAAAAGAGAGGGGGAAAAAATTAACTGGAATGCGTCAAAAACGCGGCAAAATCGCACATGCAAAAAACGCATCCGGAACGCATCTGGACTGCGGTTTTATAGTGTGAACTGGCCATAAATGTGAATGCAGCCTTACAGGGCACCTGATCGCATAATACATCTTCCAGTTGCCGCAGATCAACAGTTGATAGCTGGGCAATAGCTCTGCCACTAGTAAAGATTATGCTCACACTGATTGGAGGGCTCTAGCTATGACTCAGCATGGGGGAGGGGGTGTCGGACCTCGGTGGAGAGACCACTGCCTCCACACAGAGAGCAAGTCTTCTTCTCTTGCAGAATTCTGGCAGGGGACAGGATTTTTGACTCAAGCTGTGGCTGCTTTATAAAGATAAGGAAGTGTAAAGGTCACCATATGTTGCGATCTTTGTACGATCTACATATAGGGAATGTAAAATGATAGTTCAGTTGGTCAGACGTAGATTTTTATAGTAAAGTCTTCTATGTCCTTCCAGTGACACCTGCCATGAACTCCTTGGACACGTCCCCCCTCCTGGCTGAGCCCAGCTTTGCACAGTTTTCCCAGGAGATCGGACTGGCGTCTCTGGGGGCATCGGATGAAGCTGTACAGAAACTGGCTACGGTACGTAGACGACGTTTCCTTAAAGAGCCAGTCCATCCAAAACCGCTACTTCAGTTACGAGTGGACCCTGGCTAGGTTATTCAGTTCATTTTTGCTCCAGGGCTTTATATAGAACTGAAGGCCATATCATTCTTTGTATACTAGCCCCTATTAGTCTGTAGTATGGACCATGTATTATATCATTTCACTTACCTATAGATATCTTTTGTTACAGTGCTACTTTTTCACTGTGGAGTTCGGTCTTTGCAAACAAGATGGGAAACTGAAGGTGTACGGAGCCGGTCTACTATCCTCCATCAGTGAGCTCAAAGTAAGTGTCAGTGTGATGTCTGGTGTCAGTGTGATGTCTGGTGTCAGTGTGATGTCTGGTGTCAGTGTGATGTCTGGTGTCAGTGTGATGTCTGGTGTCAGTGTGATGTTTGGTGTCAGTGTTCAAAATACCGCAATATTGCCACTAGATGGAGCTGGCAGTCATAGAAAATAAGCATTTATTTCCTATGATCATCCACTCCATCTAGTGGTCATTAAGCACCAATAGAAACCAAATTTCATGTATTATTTTGAATCCTTCTAAAACAGGGATCTTCAAACTTTCTAAACAGAGGGCCAGTTTGCTATCTTTAAACTTTAGTAGGGTTGGACTGTGGCCAGCGGGAGTAGAAAATGTTTTTTGTTCGTGGGAGTAAACAGTGTCCCATCTTTAGTGTCATTGGGAGAAATAGTGCCCCAGCCTTGATGTCAATGGGAGGAATAGTGTCCCATTGTTGGTGTCACTGGGAGGAATAGTGCCCCAGCCTTGATGTCAATGGGAGGAATAGTGTCCCCTTATTGGTGTCAGTGGGAGGAATAGTGCCCCAGCCTTGATGTCAGTGGGAGGAATTATTATTATTATTATACAGTATTTATAAAGCGCCAATAGTTCACTCAGCGCTGTACATTACAAAGGGGGACAGAACATGTGACAGAACAATACCAATAGTGCCCCATCACTGGTGTCAGCACAAGGAATAGTGCCCCACTATTAATGTCAGTGCGAGGAATAGTGCCTCATTCTTGGTGTCAGTGGGAGGAATAATTCCCTATTGTTGGTGTCAATGAGAGGAATAGTGCCCTATTGTTTGTGTCAGTGGGAGGAAATATTGCTAGGAATAGTGCTCCACCATTTGTCAGTGGGAGCAATAGTGCCACCTATTGGTGTCAGTGGAAGGAATAGTGCCCCATCATTTGTGTCAGTGGGAGGAATAGTGCCCTATTGTTGTTGTGAGTGGGAGGAATAGTGCCCCATCATTGGTGTCAATGGGAGGTATAGTGCCCTATTGTTGTGAGTGGGAGGAATAGTGCCCCATCATTGGTGTCAGTGGGAGGCATAGTGCTCCACCATTGACACCAAGGATGGGGCACTATTCCTTCCACTGTCACCTGTGGGAGGAATAGTGCCCCATCCTTGGTGTCAGTGGGAGGGTTAGTGCCCCATCCTTGAAGTGAGTGGGAGGAATAGTGCCCCCATCATTGGTTGTCAGTGGGAGGATAAATAGTGCCCCCATCATTGGTGTCAGTGGAGGGGAGGGAATAGTGCCCCCATCATTGGTGTCAGTGGGAGGGAGGAATAGTGCCCCCATCATTGTGTGTCAGTGGGAGGAATAGTGCCCCCATCATTGGTGTCAGTGGGAGGAATAGTGCCCCCCATCATTGGTGTCAGTGGGAGGAATAGTGCCCCCATCATTGGTGTCAGTGGGAGGAATAGTGCCCCCATCATTGGTGTCAGTGGGAGGAATAGTGCCCCCATCATTGGTGTCAGTGGGAGGAATAGTGCCCCATCATTGGTGTCAGTGGGAGGAATAGTGCCCCCATCATTGGTGTCAGTGGGAGGAATAGTGCCCCCATCATTGGTGTCAGTGGGAGGAATAGTGCCCCCATCATTTGGTGTCAGTGGGAGGAATAATGCCTCGATGTCGGTGTCTCCCCCGGATTAGTCATTGGCAGGAACTATGCCCTATTGTTCCTGATAGTGGGGGTAATAATGGCCCAAGCCCCCTGGATAAAAGGAAGCAAAGGGCCACATCCGGTCCTCAGGGCCACAGTTTGGAGACCACTGTTCTAAAATCTAGATTGTTTTGCTATTTGCAACATACTGCTCTCTTTCCTTCTCATCGGATCAAACTTGCAATGTTAGAGTGAATGTCTCCTCGGATATTGTGCTACCGCCAATAGTAGCTGCCACTACCACTGATTAGGTCACAAGTCCCCTTCCTCTCTTCCAGCACTCTCTCTCCGGAAATGCCAAAATGAAGCCTTTTGACCCCGTAGTGACCTGCAACCAAGAATGTATTATCACCACCTTCCAGGACGTCTACTTTTACTCTGATAGCTTTGAAGAAGCCAAAGAAAAATAATGAGGAAATATCGTATTATATATTGAATAACCGTACAGCTCTATTCCAAATTTTAGGACTGTAAAAATTTTTCATTTTTCTAGGCAAAACTAAAGCCAGATATAACCATTTCTTTGAATATTATAGCCCTTATCTATAGCAGACTTTTATAAGTAAACCGGACTCCTTACTTCGCTCTCCCCGGCAGTTCATTGTATTGGATATAATATTATATATATGCATTTTATTTATTTCATTTCAAAAATTTTTTTTAAACAATTAACCTTTTGCTGTAAAAATTGGAATTAGTGCTGCCTCTAGTGGCTACCTCATGTTTTTGCAGTGATGGGTAGGTTTTCACACCTTCCATCCAATAAATACGCCCAGGAAGCACTTTAATTCTCAAATACAGGGAAATTAGACTATATGCACATATTTTTTTAAATTTTAAATGTATTTGAATTACTTCTACTATATTACATAAGAAAGCTTCATCAGTGCACCTCTCTGATTTATATTCCACCATTTTACAAACCCCGTTACCATATCTGACTATATCCCGGAACCTGTATTAAAGTGTTACTCTCCCCGAACCCTTGCATTCACTATATCCGCTCTCCCCGGACCCGGCATTCACTATATCCGCTCTCCCCGGACCCCGGCATTCACTATATCCGCTTCCCCGGACCCCGGCATTCGCACTATATATCCGCTCTCCCCGGACCCGGCATTCACTATATCCGCTCTCTCCCCGGACCCCGGCATTCACTATATCCGCTCTCCCCGGACCCGGCATTCACTATATCCGCTCTCCCCGGACCCGGCATTCACTATATCCGCTCTCCCCGGACCCGGCATTCACTATATCCGCTCTCCCCGGAACCCGGCATTCACTATATCCGCTCTCCCGAATTTTATCTGCATCAAACGCCGGCATTCACTAATATCCGCTCTCCCCGGACCCGGCATTCACTATATCCGCTCTCCCCGGACCCGGCATTCACTATATCCGCTCTCCCGGACCCGGGCATTCACTATATCCGCTCTCCCCGGACCCGGCATTCACTATATTCCGCTCTCCCCCGGACCCGGCATTCACTATATCCGCTCTCCCCGGACCCGGCATTCACTATATCCGCTCTCCCCGGACCCGGCATTCACTATATCCGCTCTCCCCGGACCCGCATTCAACAGCATTCACTATATCCGCTCTCCCACCGGACCCGGAACCCCGGCATTCACTATATCCGCTCTCCCCGGAAACCCGGCATTCACTAAATATCCGCTCCGTCCCCGGACCCGGCATTCACTATAATCCCGCTCTCCCCGGACCCGGGGCATTCACTATTTCCGCTCTCCCCGGACCCGGCATTCACTAACTCTCCCCCGCTCTCACCCCGGACCCGGCATTTCACTATATCCGCTCTCCCCGGACCCGGCATTCACTATATCCCGCTCTCCCCCGGACCCGGCATTCACTATATCCGCCGCTCTCCCCGGACCCGGCATTCACTATATCGCTCTCCCCGGACCCGTAAACATTTAACTATATCCGCTCTCCCCGGACCCGGCATTCACTATATCCGCTCTCCCCGGACCCGGCATTTCAACTATATCCGCTCTCCCCGGACCCGGCATTCACTATATACCCGCATTCTCCGCTCCCCCGGACCCGGCATTCACTATATCCGCTCTCCCCGGACCCGGCATTCACTATATCGCTCTCCCCGGACCCTGCATTCACTATATCCGCTCTCCCCGGACCCTGCCCTTCACATATATCCGCTCTCCCCCAGTATGCAGAACATGGAAATGCAATTATTTTAGTAAAATATAAACTGCTAAATACCTTTTTCTCATCAGCAGTATATAGCAGTCTTGTGACTTCTATCAGTGTCTGGCCAAGTACTGGTTAAAGCTAGTAGGAGGAGTTTTCAGTTTACTAGGAGGATGCAGAACCCCCTGATCCTCTGTCTTGACAGTGCTGATTGGCCCTGTGCTGATCACATGCATGCTCCCAAGGAAAAAACAAAACAAAAAACCTCTCTAGGAATACACACCAAACTGAGCATGTGCAGAGTGCCACCTAGAGCTCTGTACTATTTGAAGATGGATGGGGGACAGTAGAAAAAAGGGATGATCAGAAAAGACAGGATCAAACAGCATTTTTACACAATGCGGAGGATTAACCCCTTAGGTTCCACAGTGAGTATAACAAGCACGCTTTACTACATATAAAGACTGATCTTACTGTTTGTGGGTTCTCAGTAACACTTTAAGCTCTGCCCAACTGCGATATTCATTGATTCAATGAGAGTTCCCTTATGGGTCACTGGAGAAGCCTTCTTGGATTTTTTACTGGCACATGGCGGGACGTTAGTTCTAAAATCAGGGAAAGCAAGACTCCAGTAAGCTAAATCAGAAAGGTGCACCAAAAAAGCTTCCATTACTAATGAAACAGGACTGTGTATCTACATGCAGTCCCTATAAGTAACCCCCTTAACCTGAGCTAAACCATGAAACTTACCCCCCTAAATCTATCTGCC